CAATGAATAAGATCCAAGAAAAAAATGGCCTACTCTCTATATCTTTTCATTTTCTTGGCCCTTGTTTACTTTTAACTCAACAATTTTGGCTCATGTGTAAAACGTTTGGACAAAAATAAATCCAGGCTTTTGATTCACTCAGCTTCAGTCAATGATTCACCTCCTGCACTGTCTCATGAGTTAAGTCTGATATTATTCTACACGATTTATACGTTACACACTCAGGCAAACTATTTATATGATACGAATCACACCATTAAGTTTTTTCATAGTTTATTTATCATCTAAATTAGTATTTTTAATCACTTTTGCCTTGTCAAAGTAGATATTCCTTTCTTCTTCTGCCAAATGTGCAAATGAGGTGATGACGACCTCCAGCGACTTTAAAACGGCTAATATCCATTTTTCTTGCTGATGAGTTGGCAGCAGAGCAGAGAGCGGTTTAGGTAGCATCGGAGCCTCAGGTTGTACAGTGAGAGAACACGATTCGAGAGCTGTGAATTATTGAACCCTGCGATGTAGTCGAACAGTTTGAGCAGGAGCTGAACACAGCTGCTGAAAATATCTGGCAGTGAATGACCAGCTTAACAGGACAAAGGCTGGACATTCCCATGCAGCTTAAACTTGTTTAAAAATGCATGAATGTAGCACCTTCTCGCATTCAGTCGAAGAGGTTCACATGATTTCCTTAAGTTTCTCTGTGATTTCACACAGTGAAGGTTTTCCTCCGTGGATGAATTAACCTCTCAGAATCTCAGACAGCTATGGCATCGACGATTTGACTTTCATAGTTTGTTTGGTGCAGTTATCTTTGTACAGAGAAATGTGTAAACCAGGAAAAAAAATATCTAACTTATGACCTTCAGTACGAGTAAAATTAACAGAAAAAGTGACTGTGAACTAAAAGCACAAGTTAAAAGTCAGAAGAAGAGTTTTGTTGACCGTCTTTGCTTTTGATAGTCATGTTTTTTATTATTTTATGATCTGGTGCTTTTAAGATGAAAAAAATCTATTTTTATGACCGAATGTAGATGTTGGTACTTGTTAACCTCTTTTTCTAAAAAGATTCCTCTTTAAAGAGAGACTGTAGATCTCAAGATATTTTATCTATTTAAATAAATTGTATTCATTATCATTATTATTGTTTAAAAACCTGTTTTTCATTGTTCTGGCTTTCAGCAAAAACAAATAATTTTGTTAATCCCTAACCAATAAAATGTCAATCTGACAAAGTGAGAGAAAATGTCTTTTTTCTATATTATGTCTCATTTCAACTGTTCATAGAGATTATTGTCCAAAACATTTTCTTCAAACATAATTAAGTGCCTTTAATCACAGAACTATGTGATGAAATCTCCCAAATTTGTTGCTTTTTTCATCTCTGCAGCTTTTCAAGATGTTTTTATCCTTTTAGAATTATATCTATTCAATGTAAAGGATGTTAACTGGAGCATATAAACAACCCTCTCTCTCTGATATTTATTTTTTGCAAACATGCTCTCTAACACACATGCTCCTAGATTTGAAACCTCTTTGACAAGCAGCATTTCTATCTGAGCGTTTTTGCTATTCTTTCAGATCTTCGTCTTTATGTCCACATCTCTTAATGTCCTTTCAGGCAGTAAAAAGGTACAAAGCTTTTATATCTTTTTATAGCCTGCTCTTGCTTCATTGGGCATCAATTTGCTTCATTTTTAGATCCAAACACGGTTGCTATGAGAAGTTTGACGTGGTTCAGTGTTTTCACAAGCTTAAAAGAGACTTCATTAGCAGTCCACGATTATCACCAACTGGAAATATCTTCAACTTCTTTCCTACTGAACCTGATTAATTAGAGTCAAAGGCAATTAAAGATCAGCGATTATGTTTGAAGGAAGGAATCTAAAACACCAACACCACCAGCCTTGGTTTTATAGTAAAAACCAACGTACAAACGTTTATTTTGGAACCATTACCAATACTACAACCATTACCAATACCTCCACCCATCACATATTATATTGTGATGGGAGGAGGTAACGATATATATGACTTATATAAAACTTGCAATAGAAACTAAAAAAAAAAATCACATACAAATTGAGTAAAATGTATCTATTTGTATGCATTGAAACCCGTTTAACACACGTTTTTGTGGATGCTGTTTGTACGTAATGTTTAATTTTTTTATGCTGCTGCTATTAGTGGCTATGAGAAAAGGGGTTTATCCTGTGCGCGTCCCGACGGGGCTCGCACCAATCCCGTGTGCACTTTTACCTCTCAGTTTCCCCGTCTGACCGTGACATCTGCTGCGCTCCTCCTGAGCGCCGTGGTAAGACCGCAGGAGGTTAATCCCAAACCAGGTGCAGATAATTGACCTGCCTTTTTCACAAGCTCTTCCTTTGTGCTCTCAGCCAAGCTGCTTCCCACTTGCTCTGTTTTGATGCCGGACAAATATGTCATCAACCAGCATTACTGCGGCTAGCCAGCAGACTACAGGTGTCTGTAATAGTTCAAATTTCTATCATTTCTACCGTATGATAGAAATTCCAACACACATTCTTACTACTTACTATTAACTACTTCATGACCCAAATAAATTACAATTTCACTTGGTAAAATATAATTATCTACACTGGAGTATAATTTTCATTTTATTGGCTGAACCACTGTGACCGTCAGCTATAGAGACTAATGAGAAGCCGTTCCAGTTTTATCTCTTCATTCATTATGATCCTTCAATAGACACATTTAAATAAAGGTCTGTTTAACTCTGTATTGTTCAAACTATTTCCACAAAAATCCTGGCAGAGTCGCCGTCTCTATTTAGCAAGCAAACATAAAAACAGAGGCAGAAATAAATCAGAGCTCCATAAAAGTCCTCATTTTCAAAAACTGCTCCCAGCATTCGGTCCGTCTGAAGCAGAATTTTAATCAGGGCCCAGCAACGCTTCAATTCAAGCCTGCTCTCATGAACACAGCATTAAGCCTTCAGATATGTTTAAACAAAGTGCATTATTTATAAAAGGCCGCTCTGAAGCAAAAAGAGGGTTAAGAACTTAGCAGAGACAACAATCCGCTGCAGCACCAATCCAGTTCATCTCCTAACAGAGAGCGCAGCCACAAATCCTAGCGGATGAAGTCCTTCAGTGATAAATGTGTCAAGATACTTTCTGAAATGTTTTCCAAAATAATTGCTGTTTCCAATATTAGCTTCTCGGCTGGATTCTTGTCTGTAATACTTGCTTTGAATCAGAATTGTTTCTCTCCAGGTAGTAATGATGAGGAATACAGGAAATTAAAACTGATACAACAAAGTGTGTGTGTGTGTGTGTGTGTGTGTGTGTGTGTGTGTGTGTGTGTGTGTGTGTGTGTGTGTGTGTGTGTGTGTGTGTGTGTGTGTGTGTGTGTGTGTGTGTGTGTGTGTGTTTGAGGTGCAACACAAACACCAGGATCATTGTGATATTTCTGCCGCCTCATTATCCAGTGTGAGGAGGAAACACTTTGCTTGTTTGGCTGAGCTCTGAAAATAGGCACTGACCAAATCTTCTAAGAGAAAAATACTTGAGGAAATGTATTTGTGTCGACACTTCTGGCACTGTTACAGCTTTAGACAAGACATTTTTTGGTCCAGTTAAATCTGCAGTCTGTAACTTTTCTAAAAAAATGTGTTTCTTACATATTTGTTTAAGCTATTACCATGTCGTGACAATATGAGACAGATAATGTGAAAAAAATCTAGTTTGTCTGCCTTCTCCCTAAGGTCCTGCTGTCATCTGAAGAAACACTCGGCTCTTACAGAAACAACTATTCAGAGCTGCAGTAAATAAATTTAACAAAAATATGTTTTTTGCATATTTTTTAAAACTGTCACCATGTCCTGACAGTATAATATGAGACAGATAATCTGAAAACATTATAAAAAGGAGGTAAAATGTTAAAATTACCATCTGAAGAAGCATACTGCTCCCAATCAAAAACAACCAATCAGAACCAGGAGGAGGGTCTTAGCGTTGCCAATCAATCTCATGTATGCACTTCTCACGCCCTCCCTCATCCTCCTTCCCACACAGACAGCTCGCAATAAATGCTAAGACAATTTCTTTAAGTTGTTTCCTGTCATTAGCACATTTAGAAGCAAGTACATGAGAATGATTCACAGCACCAAGACCTTCCACATCTCACGCTTAAAGAACAGCGTGAGATGTGGTTGTATTCTTTGATGTGTGTACTTGAAAGGACCATAGGAACCTCGAGCGCATTTATTCCTAAAGAGTTGATATTTTATTGTTCTCTTGTAAAATCTAGTTTTGATGCTGTGGTTTCTCAGTTGCTTCCTTCACAAAGCAGCACCAAAAATAAATCATAATATCAAACTTAAACACTTCATACGTAATAAAAGGGATAAGAAATAATAACTTTAGCCTAACAGCATCAGGAGCCCAGAAGATCCTGCACAACCATTGGAGAAACTACATGAAAACATACCAGGTAGAATATCAATCAGAGCTATATATGGATCTGAAAATACAGAACAGAAACATTTAACCTCCTCTCTTTCTAAATTATTTGGTATTTTAAAAACATTGCATCAGAAAAGTGCAATTCCAATTTTTCTGTGTTAACTTTTATTTCAAATAAATCTCAGGCTGGCTGAGTTAGCGTCACAAATGTAGCTCAGCTCCTGACAGCAAATAGAAATGCTCTGATGACACCAAGATGCTCAACCTGCCTCTCATGAACTTACTGCCAACATCAACATCAGCAACCATCCAAAACTTACGATGATCTTCTCCCTAACCATCCAAACACAACTGCTTCTGTTTTCCTCATCCTATTGTAAGCTGGGTCTGTGACATGTTTTACAAAGCTTGTTGCACAACATCAGGATCACTCTACAAAGAAAAACTGCAACTACAAGCCAAAAAGAGAAGAGAAACTGGATCAACAAAAGGTGGAGTGCAGATACTGACACATGATACATGCAGCTTTTATCAGGAGGTGTGTTTCCTGTCACTCACTGGCTTGCATGAGCTGCCCCTGGCGTCCAAACACCTGGGAGAAGGTGGCATGGCTGCAGGTGAGGGTGTCCTCCATGGCAGTCCCACTTGCTGAGGAGCCAGAAATAGAGTGGAGAGAGATAAGGGAAGGTCAGGCAGACTGCGTCACTCCAAGATCGGCGAAAGGAGGGAAAGTGGAGAGCAGAGAACAAAAGAGGAAGAGAGAGAAGGTTGATGCTTGCCTTGAGCTGCTGTGTGATGTCTGGTGACAACCGCACTCCTGTGGAGCTGTCCTGCTGCTGCGGATGGGGAGTGAAATACAGCTCCTCGCTGCACACACGCGTACGAACAGAGCTGCTCGCCTGCACTGATAGGTGGTGGTGTGTGTGTGGGGTGTGTGTGTGCTGGATCCTCGTCAGCATGTAAGTGGGCGTGCAGGAGAGAAAGTTCTCTACCAGAGCATCTCAGAGGACAGGTAGCAGAGCGAGAGGCGAACTCTGGTCGTGTTCATCTTCATCCGTACAGATCGACAATCCTCCACGGCCAGGCGGAGAGAAACAGCAGCTTCTGCCAGGTAAAAAAAAACAAAGTAAATCCAGCCAGAGCTGAGTCTGAAGGAGACAGCTGTACGAACAAGGATGAAAACGATTAATCGACTTACGATCAATTGGTTTCCTAAGTTATGTTCACACTGCAGCCGGAAGTGACCCAATTCCGATGTTTAGCCTTAATGCGACCTGTATCCGATCTTTTCATGACGGTCTGAACACCACAGATCGGTTTTGGCCGATACTATCCGATTCAAATGTGACCTAACGTCCAGGTCGCGTTCACCCGAACTGAACGTCACTGATACTCGACAAACTTAATTTTTCTGCGCAAGCCGGAAGAAAAACAACAACCATGGCGGACTGTAATGAGGGTTAAGCTGCTGCTCCGGTCGGACAACATCGTCAAAATCGTAAGCTATGCTCCACCGTTAGCGTCCACGTTTACTTCCGCAAACACTGAGCGCGCTCTACTGCGCATGCGGGACGCTTTGAGGTCGTTTGCAGTTCACACCGGAGCTCACATACAAGTCACATATATTTGGAAGTGTGAACGACCACGGCAAAAAAACTGATTTGACCAAAAAAAAAAAAAATCGAAATTGAGTCACTTCAGGCTGCAGTGTTAACGCAGCCGATAACATCCGCTTCTTTTAGCGTCTTTTATTGTTGCAGTTTGGCCGTCATCCAGCAGAGGGCGCCACCCGTTATCGTTGATAGTGGAAAATGTTAGCTTCCTGTTCAAATAAAATCTTGCCTCCTCTTCACTCGGATTCTCTCCAGCGGGTTTTAGCCAATCGGCGAACAGAAGGAGACGTGAACAATGACGTCTGCTTTTCGCACTGTTTTATAATTGCAATCTGTTTGTAGTTTTAGCAATGGCATCAGAGGAAGTGAGCGAAGCCGTTCAATCCAAATATTGAATATTAAGACCTGCCTGTTCGGATTGACCTTATCTTTAGCATGCTAATTTAAAAAAACAAGAATCTATGAGATTTTTATTTGTACAGAAACAAAGATGGTGCAGCGAAACCACAGTGGGAAAGAGAAATATTCCAAACAGTCCAGAATGAGTTGGGAAATAACTTCATACGGTTCTGTTTTGAAATATAAACACTGGACAAGCGCCCAAAGTTAAATCCTTATTTTTTTATTCAGCAACTTTAGAGGTTCTTGTTATATTTTATAAATATGTCTTAAGTTTTCAGTTTATTCTGTTCGCATAAAATACTGACATAAAATAATGTTAAAATTTAATGATGTTTTTTTTAAAATTCAGCATATTATGAAAATGTAACTATGTTATGGAAAGATGGTCCGAAAACTCAGCCGATTAACTATTAATCATTAATTGATTGATAAGATCAATCTACTGTAGATTAACTCAGTAATTGATTACTCACATTCCTAGCATGGACACACTTTTATTTTATGATCTAGGTTTTCTCCCCTCCCCCTTCTTTCCAGACCACATTTGCTTTCCCTCAGCAGTAACATTTCACTCTCTCTCCCCTCGCATCTCTATCACTACCCAACCCCACCCCATGCAAATCCCCACCATCCATCTCAAAGCTCGGGCCGCTGCTGGGAAACAGACTCCAGGCAAACTGGAGCGCTTCATCTGTCCCTCCACCTCAATGCAGATGAGAATTTAGGGGGAAAAAATGAGAAAGAACAAGCAGAGGAGTTGTATTAAAAGTGAAAGTAGGGCTTGTACAGTCGGTAGTTTCCAGAGGCTTCAACATGAAAAGGCATTGTAGAAAAGTGCTGAGTATAAAATAAAAATCAGCTCCTCTTTGGCTCCACTGGAAATACAACCCTTGTGAACACGCCTCAGTATGCAGGGAAGCAGCCTTGGAGCTCATGAGGTAGACTTCCACACGCTGCAACGTAGAGGAACATGAGCCTGTTTTAGCAGTAATCTGCATCCTCAGATAACCTCTCCGACCGTGAAAGACCCAATTATTTATTATAGTTAAACTTTCTCCATTTTGTAAATTCACATCCACAAACTACCAGACGACCCAAAAGAGGATAGAGTACCCAAAAACTCAACATACTTTTAGTAGAGTAAAAATAAAAAAGTATCTACTCAAGAAACTACTCAAATAAGAGTAAAAAAAAATATTTGGTAAAAATGCAACTCAAGTGCAATTTTTGTCAGTAAGTCCCTAAACTGACACTTCTGTAGCTGGCAGCTGGTTTACAGGCAGTTTCATCCAATGCAAGGACACCCAGAAACCCAGAAACCCATCGTCACAGAGTCGCCTCTCACTCCACGGTTCAGCAGAGTGAACACTCCAGGGATCACTTCCTCAAGTCCAGAGCTCTTGTTTTAAAATAAATCGGCAGGACGGTTCACACACAAAAAACCAATCAAACTTTACAACAGAATCACAGTTTGTCATTAAATAACAATAATGGGTTTTCAGATTGACTGAATATTTCTCGGAATGGGGCTGCATACAAAATACAACTAAAAACTGCAAAATGCAAAGATCAAACCAGACATTTCAGAAACAATGACAAATCTCAGCTCCCGTCTCCAAGTCTGCAGACTAAGGCCCAGCAGAATAAAACTCCTCTCCGTCTTCATCAGCTTTAATGTTATTCTCTTTGAACAGGAAACAGGGGCACAGGGAGCTGTTTTTGGAGGCTCTGCATTGTCACATATAAGCAACTGCCACTGCAGCTTCTGTCTCTGTTTGCTATCTGTTTTTCTGGTTTATACAAATTATACTTTGTATATTTAAATCCCCCACAAGCCAGTGGGTTGCAGGTTTTCTACTTTATACTTTGTATTTTGTTGCATGAAATAGTAAAACACTACAGGTAAGATTTTTCAGAGGTTATTCAAGATTTATGAGCTGTCTGACAATTATTATCTGCTTAAGTGTCATCCATGCTACCAGGCGTTTTGAGAAAGGGAGAGTACGTAAAAATGAAAGAATGTAATTTTTTGAATGTACTATGTGGAAGACAAATTGTAGGTTTTAGTGAGTGATAAAATGCAGATTCTGTCTCTTTTTTGTAGGTTCTGACATGTCAATATCTTACCTGCAGTAGATTTGTCTCCTGTTCTTGCTAAGTGCTCAGACTGTAGTTGCTGTAACCTGTAACTTCTCCAACTAGGAAGAGATTTTGAGCCATCTGCAGGTTCAATAAGGCAGTGAGTCAATTACAATAAACTGACATAAATCCATAACATCTCACCACACAGTTGTGAATCTGACTTTCGTTTCATTTTCACGGTTTAGAAGGACAAGAAGCCAAAGGAAAATACTGCTCTGGCATCAGCTGACTGCACCTCTGCTGCTGTAGTGAACACAACAACCAGAAGAGTCAGACTGCTACAGATTTTACTGCAACCTAAATAATTCAGCAGGTACAGCAAATGGATGGATAGATAATTACCTGACCTCTTGGGGACACCCACTAAAAATTATTTGGAGACAGACACAGTCAGTAGGTTCTTAAATATTGTACATGAAACAAAACAAAATGATACAACTACGATCCAAAAGTATTGAATCTCATCCTGATGCAGCAGGACACTGTGAACTTCACACTCCTGATCCTAATAGATGCACTATTCAGAACTGGGGTGCAGTAAAAGTAACTTATACTTCATTTAGGGGATAAGTCTTGATGTTCCTCAAAATGTCCTCCCTTTAGGAGCCATGCTGATGTGTTTTTTTGAACATACCACATGTGGTGGTGCAGGGTTAAGCACAACCTACATAAGGAGGTCTTATTCCTCGATGTGTTTGTCGCAGGTTCGATTCCAGGCCTCGTGACCTTTTCTGTCAATTCACTGCCAAATAAAGGCTGCTTGAAACAAAACTTTCTTCCTATTTTTTATTTCATTTTATTTTTTTTAAAGAGAGCTGAAACTGTGTGTCAGCAGCTTAAAGATTAAAAAACATAACCAATAGGTTTGGTGCTGCACACACATATCAGCATCAAAATATGCAAAATAATATGTTTTATAACGAGAAAAGAGACAGAATTAAAAAGTTCTGACCATTTAGTAGAGCAATGGTTACCCAGTACTAAGATTTACCTTCATTTATGCATTTAAACAAATTCACAAAGGACAAATGGAAGCCATTCCCATATTTTCATTTTTATGTAATTATTCAAACAAAACCAGACACCTTCATGTATCGTTTAATCAATCGGGCAGGTAAATGTTCACATTTCCTTCCTGTTACCTTGGAAGATTTCTGCTGATTTTCCAGCGGAGTAACAAAATGAAGCAGGCTGTTTGAGGTTTAGCTCAAATCATACACAATTGTTCCTCCATTTATATTTTTGGACGGTGGGAGGAAGCCGGAGTTCCCGGAGAAAACCCATGCATGGAGAGAGACCCCGAGCCGGGAATCGAACCCAGGACCTTCTTGCTGCAAGGCAACAATGCGACCCACTGTTCTACTGTGCAGCCCTACAAAAGGATAACTATAAAGATATCCTGGCATTTAGCGAAAATAAACTTCTAGTAAACTTAATTGTTCTAAAATAGCAACAAAAAATTGCTTTATTTTATATCAGATATTGAGAATTATTTTTTTTATTTAGTGCATGTAAATTTCTGCTCCAGTTATTTACAATACTACCATTAAAGTTTTTCTGATGGATGTCAATTTGTTTAGTTAACCAGACAGATTTATGCCAAGCTAAAAATGTCTCTGCTGATTTAACATCTATTTGCATATTTACGTAGAAGTCTGGCTACTTATAAGTGAGTGGTTATAACAATGACCTTCCTGTTTGAAACTCCCGAACTGAAAATGCTGAGGACATCCTGCCAGTGTCTATATGAAGAAGCAGTGAAGCAATAACTTGCATGTTAGTTTTGTTTTTTCTGAATTTTCTCTATCGTGTGATGGCCTCTGATCAGAAAGTCACCTCAGAAAAATCTGAATTAAATTTTTCTTATTGACATAAATCATCAGTTGTACCCAAAATAATTAACAAAAGATTTATTTTTATTTTAAATATGTAGCTGTAAAGGTTTTTCTCTCCACACTAAGAGCTCTGTAAGTTGAGCTTGTGCCCTGCGAAGACCTTGCAGCGACAGTAAAAGTCAGCTTTTCATCTTTCCAGAAGCGGTCTCATCTTTGTGACAGTTTTAGCTGTGTGACTGGATCTGTGGATGGCGGTGTCAGCATGTTGCTGAGTCCATCCAGCACTCGGGTCCACTCTGAAATATTTGTGCAGACAGTTATGCCTCCCTCAGGAGAGTCTGTAACTCCCGCTCTCTTTCCTCCATCGAGTTAAAATTTCAATTCTTTCAATATTTACCTGCAAGGCTAATGACATTCCCATCACTCTCTGGCGCCAAAGCCAAATCCCAGCTTTCACCAGTCGGGTTATATCAACCTCAAGTTCAGCGGCGTCTGACAGTAACGCAGGAAAGTAAACATGGT